GGGACCGAATGGCTAGGCAGCAGTTCTGCGGAAAAGGACCTAGGGGTGACAGTGGACGAGAAGCTGGATATGAGTCAGCAGTGTGCCCTTGTTGCCAAGAAGGCCAATGGCATTTTGGGATGTATAAGTAGGGGCATAGCGAGCAGATCGAGGGACGTGATCGTTCCCCTCTATTCGACATTGGTGAGGCCTCATCTGGAGTACTGTGTCCAGTTTTGGGCCCCACACTACAAGAAGGATGTGGATAAATTGGAGAGAGTCCAGCGAAGGGCAACAAAAATGATTAGGGGTCTGGAACACATGACTTATGAGGAGAGGCTGAGGGAGCTGGGATTGTTTAGCCTGCAGAAGAGAAGAATGAGGGGGGATTTGATAGCTGCTTTCAACTACCTGAAAGGGGGTTCCAAAGAGGATGGCTCTAGACTGTTCTCAATGGTAGCAGATGACAGAACGAGGAGTAATGGTCTCAAGTTGCAGTGGGGGAGGTTTAGATTGGATATTAGGAAAAACTTTTTCACTAAGAGGGTGGTAAAACACTGGAATGCGTTACCTAGGGAGGTGGTAGAATCTCCTTCCTTAGAGGTTTTTAAGGTCAGGCTTGACAAAGCCCTGGCTGGGATGATTTAACTGGGAATTGGTCCTGCTTCGAGCAGGGGGTTGGACTAGATGACCTTCTGGGGTCCCTTCCAACCCTTATATTCTATGATTCTATGATTCATTGCCCCTGGAATTCACTTCCCCACTTGCTCTGACAGAGCCCAAGTCTGTTGGCCTTCCGGGCACACAGTAAGGTCTTCCATTAACTCAGGGTTGCCTGTGGAGTGGGCAGCATGGGGAGGGTCATGGCAGGGCTGGGGAGGTCCTTTTAGTGCATTTTGTTTGGTGTTGTGCAGGTTTAAATCCTGGTCCATGCACCATGTCCATGCAGTGGGGACAAAGCTGCCCCTGAGGGCCTGTTCTGGATGCCTGGCTGGAACTCATTGTGCTCCAACAACCACTAGCCAGTGCAATGACTTTCCAGCTTGCCTAGATTAGAGCAGCTAGGAGGCTTCTTGGACTTGCCCCCATCTCTGGGTCCTACATCGAGCTCAGCTGGATGCCAGAGTCAGGGCATTTACATTTCCTGGCTGCTCATGTGCCTGGTGAGACACTCAAAGGAACAAGGCTGGGTTTTGTTGTAAATTTCAGGCAGGAGGCAGCAAACTGGACATCACCCAGTGATGGAGACAGTAGGGCTGCCTAGAGTTGTGTGAAGACTGGCAGTTGTTCACATGAGCATTTTAGGAGTTTGTCCACATGAATTTTGCACCCTCTGGACTTTGCTTTGAGTTTCAGGGTTGACTGAGCCCACCAGATCAACCTGCAATGGCCCATTTCACCTAATTCCATGTAACAGCACCAAGTGAGCCCTGGTTTCTATCCTGAATCATGAATCACAGTCCCAATTTGGCTTAATGAAAACACAGCCGAGAGATGTCAGTGGGGTTGCACAGGGTGTAAATCAGCACAGAATTTGGCTGCAAGTGACAACGGGGTGAAATTCACTCCTGTGCACAGGGTCTGTACAGGGTCTTTGCCAAGCCGTTGGTCATGCTCCATCATGTTCAGAGACCCACCTCCTGCTCACCCCGAAGAAATGTAGGGCTTATATGGGACATAAGTGATAGATAGGCCTTTTAACTCTTCACAGAGGTGAAGTTCACCCCATGCACATACATAAACTCAGGCACACAAAAGCATATCAACCTTCATGACTGTCCTTCATGGTCTCCTCTTGGACACTATTTCCTTCCCTCGCTCACAGACTACAAAAATAGGTTTAAATCACCATTCTTTCCCAGCAATGTTTTATACCCATCTGAAGATCTTTTAAATAACAACATCTGTTCCAAACTCTGAAAGCCATGGGGCTTAATTATTTAGTTAGCTTGTGGCTCTGTTTCAGGGAGGAAGAGCGAACAGATTCTCAGAGATGAACCATTCACATTCCGTGTGGAGTACAGCTATTAATATTTGATCTCCTGCTAGCCTGGAGGCAAAGGGAATAATGTTCATCACAGGAGCCTAAGACTGAATCCACTTTAACAAATAACTGAACCGATAATGATAGCAACAGAAGATGCTGGTGGAACCGTTTGTGCTGTATCTGAGAAGAAACTGTTGGGGACTCTTGAACTTCCTGCAGCAAAGGAACTGACATTTTGTCAAGAGCAAGAGGAAATACGTCCTCTGTAATCATCGTCAATTTAAAGACGGAGATCAATGGGCCAAAGTTACTCCTGGTGCAATTCCGGGGAGGGATACACTAGATCAATTGTGAAAGGCGAGGAAAATGTACAATGAGGTTTACTGTATGTGAAATAACTTTGTGGAATGCAGGTGCAATGACTCAGTACAACATGACTGGCCTAGTGATCCAGTGCATTCACTCAGCAGTTGCAATATCCACCTGAACATGCCTGCCACATGTCTAGGAAGAGAGGTTTATTGCACTTCCAAGTTGTGTGGAACTGTTGCTCTCAGTAACGCTCACCCCCAAATCCAATTCAGATTTGCCCCAAGGCAACTGTGGTAGCATCATCAAGAAGCGTGTTTCAGCACAGTGTTTGCTGGTCAGCAGCTACCCTGTTTTCCTGGCTTCTCTCTCCTTCCCAAGTCAGACAATTCTTGCAAAGACTTACGGCACTCTGTGCTGTGCAGCTGTCATGGTTACAGTCATTAAAATTATTAACAGGACAGGAAAGGGGTGTGAGGAAGGGAAAAAACAACAAGAAAGAGAGGACATCTTAGACTAATAGCCTTTAAAGTCAGAAGGGAGCATCATGATCATCTAGTCTGACCTCCTACATATTGCAGGCCACAGAACCTCACCCACACACTCTTTGTCATTTTTAAATGCTCTGATGGTGTCAGATCACACACATTGTGATCTAATCTGCTGCCTGCTTGTGTTGCATGTTCCTAGGGCCTGCCTTAGAACACAGGGTGAAATCCACCATCCATCTAAGTTAATGGCAGTTTTACCATTGATTTCAGTGGATCCGGGATTTCACCCATCGACTCTGAGCCTTAGTGTTAAGAGTGGGTGTTGGGAGCCAAAGAAATCTGGCCAAGATTTAGAAAGGCGACACTTGGTTTTGGAAAAAGGAAAGGAGTACTTGTGGCACCTTAGAGACTAACAAATTTCAATTTTTGGCTGCTCAAATGGGCTCATGCTGAACACCCACCCTCTGAAAGCAAGGTGTGTCAAGGCAGGGGCTCAAAATCACTAATCACTTTTGAATCTCCTGGCCTCTGTATCCTAATTGAAGTTGCAGAATAGTGACCAGGACATGTCTTTGCCTGGGAAATTGTTTGTGTGCATGAATTAAAGTGCACTGGGTTAAGCAAATCTTTCAAATCCAGAGTGCTTGAGTCACTCGTGCATATATGGTAATACACTTTCTGGAATCATTATGTGCTATAGACCCATCATGGATATTTACCTCTTGGCTTTGCTCTTGCTACACTGTGTCCATTAACCATCACTAATCAGAAAAGAAAACCTAGTGTTCTGTATTATTTAAAAGATTATGCAGTATTTTAAAACACAACCTAATATAAATTTGTTATAGTGGTAATTATTTCATGTATTTACCTTTAATGGAGCTTGGGTATAAATATTGAATTAACAATACATTTTTAAAAAGCAAATCACTTCACAGAGAAGGAGGAAGTATTTGCATAGACAAATTTAAAAGAGTTAAAAACTGTTTGATCACTTAATGATAGAAGCTTTATATGCTTACATTAGTCTATACTACTTTTCTATCATTTAGTTCAGTCCTCTAACTAGAAGTTATAGGGTCTGTAGAAAAGACCGAGCCAGGCAGGGGTAACTAATTATAAGAAACCAAACATTAGGTAAATAGATGTTTTTCCTTCTTTCCGAATAGCTTATTTGTTGCTGTAGAGAGATTTCTATCTAGGAGGGCATATTTTTTTCTGGAGAAAATTATGCTCCTGTTACCATATATCCAAGTTAACAAACACACACTGCTGCTGGAGGAGAAGAGAAGGAACAAACAAGGTGTTTTTTACAGTCTCCAAGGAGAGAATAAGAGATAGATAGATATTTCCAATTATTAATCTATGCCAATCAGCTCATAGGTGGGGCAAGTTAGTGATCTGCCCTATTATATATCCTTCTTGTCTCCTATTGTTAACCATTTGTATCATAGTTACACCTACAGTCTTCCACCATATAGGGCCTTATTGTGCTAGGTGCTGCACAAACATATCGTAAATGACTCTCCATGCCACAAAGTGTTTACAGTCTAGAAGATAAGGCATCACAGAGGGATTTCACATGCAAGCAAGTGGGAGAAACGGGGCATAGAGGAGTTGTGTGCACAATCTGTACCAATTATTGAAATCTCTCTCTCTCTTTCTCTGTCACACACACATCTGAGTCTCACATGATAAGCTATATATACACACACATGCATGTAACACAATCCTCCCATGTCAGAGGCAAGAAACATGTGAGAGATGGGTGTCTCTAGTTGGACATGCAAAATATGGAGATACCCAAAAATATCACTGTGCACTTTTGAGTAGGTAGCCACCTACTCATTAAGGGGAGGCCACTGATGGGCTGTGAGAGGTCATAGAATCATAGAATATCAGGGTTGGAAGGGACTTCAGGAGGTCATCTAGTCCAACCCCCTGCTCAAAGCTGGACCAATCCCCAGCTAAATCATCCCAGCTCTGGTAATGTCTTGAGTCGTCAGATTTCCTTAATCTCCATCAATTGAGTTTTAAAACTGGGCTGCAGGTAGGAAGTGCAAAGGTTGTGCTGATCTTCCCCTAGCCATAAATTCCTTGTATTTTCATCTCGCTGATTTTTCAGGTTCGATGAAAACTTTGTATTTTCTTTCCCCCTATTTTAGTAGAGGTGGAACAATTGGCTTGGTGTGTAAAAGTAAAAATATGTCAATAAATCTTGCTTCTCTTCACAGAAAGCCCGGCTTGCACGGATACGAGTGGCCAAAACAGGCAGTTCCAGCGCTTATCTTCACAGCAAACGCAATGGCCTGCTGAACGCAGCCTTGGAGCTCACGGTACGTGCAGAGAAAATAATCCCTTTCACAGTGGAGTTTGAAAAGTTCTCCATCCCAGTCAAACCCTGTTTTGGTTGTTTCCCCCACCACAAAGACACACCTAATTGCTTGTTATTCAGTGTGACAGCCTCACATGTTGAGTTGTGCTACACTATAATTACACTACAATTTACTGGGTATGCTATCTGTAGAGACAGCTGGAATTCAGCTGCAAAATTGGAGAGGGAGGGAGGGACTTTCTGGGGCTCTTTCTTGAGCTAGGAAAGGATCCATCTTTCTAACAAAGACAGAAATGACAAAGAGCATTAATGGACCAGATCCTCAGATGGTGTAAGTCAGCATAGCTCCATTGAAGCTCTCTGTGTGTTGAAGTCATTGGAGCTGTCCCCATTTATATGAGGTGAGGATCTGGCCCTACCATACATTTCTGTCATCTTTAATAAGGAGTTGCTTGTTTCCAAATCTCTATATCCTCACAAGTGTGCAATACCTTATTACAAAGTGCCATGCTGTGCACAAAGAGCTCAGTAAAAACCTCGCTAATTCACTTTACTAATCCATAGACTGGATGACGCACAACCCAATACCTGTGCATGTGCACACTTGCACACACACACACAAAATGGACTCACTCTCACCCATTTCTCAGCAAAGAGACAGCCCTGTAGTGAGTTTTCATATTGCAATCCACCAGCTTCAATAATTTAACAAAATATTCTGTGGAACACTCACCAGCATGCTCTGATATATCACAAGCCATTCATACCCACAGCTGCCCCCCCCCTCCAAAAATGGACAAGATTTCTGGTAATGTATTATTCTTGATTAGTTACAAAAAAAAAAAAAAATTTGTTCCCCAGGGGCTTGACCCTGCAAGGGGCCAGCTGCTGTCAGCGCCTTTTGCCCTTGACATGAGTTGAGGGTGCTTGACCTTTCAGCTCAGCCCTGAACCACAGGTGGCTTGAAAGCCGCACCATACCAGGAGCGGTCCTGGGAGGCAGTGTGATTCAGAGATACCTCTTTGGGGCCCGATTCCTTAATACTTCCGCCTCACTCTCGTGGTGGGGCTAGTGATTTGCTGCTGGCACGACAGCTCACTAGTGGGAGACAGAACCTACTTCCTCCCCCTCTCCCCCGCCACCCGGTCTTGGGCAGAGGGCACTAAGGAAGTCAGCCACACCTGTTGACTCCTGCACTGAAGCTCTAGCTCACCTGTAGAGGGTTTAAATGGGATTCCAACTGCCCTGCATTGCATGCAGTCCAAGTCAAAGTCTAGCTTAGGTTCTGTCTTTTACTCTCTCACTAATGGTTCTCTTGGTCAGGGTGTATCAGCAAGGATCTGCTGTCTCTGGAAAATCACACATCGTATTTATTCTCACACTATAATACTCTAAATACACCAGGAAGTGGCCTCCAAACTGACACACACACACAAATTATGTCATTTCCTCCAGCGTTGGCAACTCTTGTGATTTTACTGCATATCTTGCAATTCAGTGTTTTTGCTACACCCCCAACTCCTGGAGTCAGGTGAATACATCAGAATCTCAGTTTCTTTTAAAAAAATAAGCTTCTAGCCCTTCTGGTTGCAAAGAAAAGCTACAAAACATGAACACTAAAGACTCAAACGTTAGTAGGCAAATAAAAAGAACCAAACATTTATTATTTCCAAAAATCTCATGACTTTGGAACAGTTGGGTTTGGCAATGCTGCTCTTCTGTAGCTACGTCACCATCAGGAGGAGCTTGTGAGTAGAAAAAGCCAGCACTTGCAGAGATGGTGCGTCACTAGCATGAGATCAGGAGCTGCGGTGGGATTCCTGGAACCATTAGCCCTGAAATTATTACAGGCTCACAATTACTGGATTGCAGGAAGGAGGACCCAAAGACTGTCCAGCAGGAGAAGAAAATGTGTCACAGCTCCTGTTCTGTGCAGCTCGATGGTTTTATTTTTAATAGCAAGATATCAGAAGGCTAGTATTAGCTATTCATGAGGAAGGAAAGTTTTAAGTGAGTCAGATTGCTTGGCAGAATCACTGAAAATGAGAGAAGGTTGGTACATTAAAGCCTGCTCAAGATCTGAGCAGGAATTAACACATTTCGTGGATTTAATTTCAAATAAATCAGTCCTTGGTGCACACGGAGAACAGAAATTGCATAACTGAGCCTTGAGAGCTGCCTAATGCTGTGTTCATGCATCCATACTCTGGACCTAATCCTGCAAACACTTACTACTCTGCCTGGTGCTGCTTAATGGGAACATTCAAGGCAGTGAGTGTTTGCAGGTATGAACCCTTCATTTTTACTCAGTTCTTGCCAAGTCAGATGGAACACTTGCCACTGTAAAAGTGGAGACAGGGCTTCAAGATTTGGCCTGCAATGTCTCTGCGTTGCGCTCTCAATCCAACTGCCATTTGAGTTGAGGGAGGGCTGGATCACAGACATAGGAATCACGATGCCCTTTAGGCTGGGCACATGCTATGCAGCCCCTTAATTCTGCCCGTAGCCCCACTGGATCAGTGAGATTACTTACAGAGGAAGGATGCTACTCAAGGGGAGTAAGAGCTGAAGAATCTGACCCTCAGTTGCCATGATGTCTTTTCAAACTGATTCCAAAGAGGCACATTGCACCAGACACTAGATTGGGATGCACAAGAACTGTCTGTCACTGACTCACTGTGTCATTTCATTTCCCCACCTCTCAGGGACAACATATGATATTTACCACCCTTTGTATATGACACTGAGCTCTCTGGATGAAAATGGCTCTGGAAGCACTAAGCAAATCTGAGAGCTAGGTTCTCTTTTTCCATGTTTGTCAAAACCCAGCCCAGCTGAACAGGACATGGGGAATTTTGTCACCTCAGCCTAGTGACCATCCATGTCAGAATCCAATTCACCACTCACGAGCCTTCGGTTCTATTGCAGGCAGTTTCTCTCTTACACGGCAAAGGTCCCCAGCCCCTAATGTCAGTGAGGCCTTCTGAAAATGAGCATTAAATCTTCTCAGCTGGTTGCATTTTTTTTTTTTTAGCACGTACTGTAAACAGGGCTTGCCAATCAAACTGTGAAACTTTTGAAGGAGGCACAGAATGGTTACGACGTGGCCAGGGACTCGGAGAACCAGCTCAGATGTGTTAATAAGATTCTGTTATTTCATCAGGAGGCAACATGCACAGTTACACTGAAAATTTAAATCATGCCCTGGGTTTTGCTGGTCTTTTAATTGTACTATTTAAAAATGCCATGGCAGCTCAGCACAGATGTGTGGCCCTCACTTGATTTTCCAGCCTGTCTCCCCAACGTGAATCCCATCACTTCTCTTTCAACCAAGCCAATCTGCCAGGCAGCTCAAAAATGGCTACTGGGACACAGATGCAAAAGTCCAGAACATATTAGCTTGAGAGCAATAATTGGCTCCTAGGTTCGTTTCTGGCTTTTGCCCAAAATGAGTTAGGAAAGGGGTCTTTTTCTTTTTTTGGCTTTGTGGCTACTGCAGATGTTGTGACAACTGTGAGGGACAGTGGCAGAATCTGGCCAGTGATTTGCCAGTCTCAGATTATTTTAAAATGTACAGAAGAAAGGAATCTATCTTTTGTAGTTGGTGTGTTAGATAATATTTTGGTTCCTGGCTACTGGGTATACTCTCATGGGCAAATGAACATTAATTACATAGTAGCTACACTTGGTTATATGTCCTATTCTTGAAGCAGACCCAGAACTTGCGTCAATATTAATGGAACTTTCATGTGTATATCTAGTGACAAGACTGCCTTAGACTTAGCAATAATTCCAAGTGTAATTACTATGTAGTCCTTATTAGTAATTAGCATGGAATTTTCATTGTTTACTACTATGTAATCAATATATAATTGTTTTGTAAATGCCCAATAGTAACAGTGTGAGATGAGCCAGAATGGAAGCATTAGGACTTATGGGTCCCAAAATACATTATCTGCAGTTCTGAGGGGTTATCCAAGGAAATAACTACCACAGCTACCATTCTGACTGAATGGACAGCATCCTGAGGGCTTTGGGGCATGTCGAAACATGGGTCTGATTCTCCTCTCACACCAGTGGAGTTACTCCTGATTTACGCCAGCTTATGTGCGGGGAGAATCAAGCCATGTGTCTTCAGCTTAGAGCTTGGCAGTGTAAAGAGCAAAAGAGGAGGAGGAGGGATGATCAAAGGAGAGCAGTATGGAGAGAATATTCATTCCCTAAAGGCGGCATCGACTTTCCCTTCAGTGAAATGTGGGTTTGATGCATTTTGTATTTGCCATGCAGACACTGAATAGGCAGGTTTTGTATCCTTTCATTTATGGGAGCAAGTGATGCAGTGTTAATAGATGGAACATTAGACATGTTCAAGTGTTGATGGGCATGTACCTTGTAGTGGCTGCAGCCTACACAGCATACGTGAGCCTTAATCTCCTCTTGCCATTAACACCTTACAGCTGTGCTGCTGTAAGATCGCTTGTGTAGCCACCCTATGCTGATGGGAGAGAGCTCTCCTGCCAATGTAGCACTGTCCACACCGGTGCTTATGTCGGTGTAATTTACGTTGCTCAGGTGGGTGTTTCTTCACATGCATGACACAAGTTATACCACCAAAAGTGGTCGTGTAGACATGATTCACTTCTTGTTGAAATGATAGGAGGTCTGTATTTTGAAACAAGACGGTTTTGAGATCTGTCTCTTCTTACAACCAAGAACCCTCTGCAGCCACAATATTGATAAAGGGCAGAATCACCCACATGGAAAGAGTAAAATTAGCTTCTGTGCCAGTCCCTCTGTACTCAACTCTGTCCAACTTTGTTCATTGAAACACCAAGCGTAAGAGATAAGACAACCCATGGAGTTCTTCAGATTTGTGAAGCTGGATGCCACACACAGGAAGCAAGTCTTCCACAAGGACACCAGCAGTTCAGTGTGTGCCTTTCAAGTGCAAACTGGGGATGGTAGCTTGTATCATTTTCCCCAGAAGCTTGAAGAGGTAGG